ACAAGCGCTGAACTTCAAGTTATTTTTATTATGGAAAAGAATAGCTTGAGTAGGCGACGCATGCATTGTTCGCACATCACGTGTGCCTACTGCAACGATGAAAACTAAGAGCATCTTGTCATGTAGCAGCAACTAATTCGCTTATACAAGAGCAACAAAAAGTAGAGAGGGAAATGTAAGTGTGGTCTGTATTTATACCTAAAAACTTTCTTTTGAAAAACTTTTTTTCTTTCAGATCGACTGAAGTCTGCTCGATTAAGCGCAGACGCCCTTACGTCCACTGCACAGAGCGTGCAGTCTACTTAATTCCACTGACGAGTGACTGGGTCTATGTTGCGCAAATGGGCTGATGCCTCAACTCGAGGCTTATGCTGCATAATTACTACTTCTCTAAAAAAGACGCTCGCCACCTTGCCTTACACTACAGGGACTGCGGCTGCGAATTCGTGTTGGAAAACACGAAGGTGGCGAGCAAAGTAAAACGGCAAAGTAACCTGGGAAATTATAGAGGCAGTAGAAATTGTCGATAGAAAGGAAAAATGCATTAGTTGCCCATCGGTTGTTGTAGCTTCAAAAGAAAGTTTTTAGGTATTAACACGTGACACGGTTACATTTTTCTCTCGAGCTTTTGTTCCTCTTGTATATAGCAAATTGGTTGCTGCTACATAAGGTGCTCTTGGTTTTTACCATTGCAATGGGCACACATCATGTGTGAACAATGCATGCATCGTCTACTTAAGGTATTCTTTCCTGTAATAAAATTCAGTTTAAGTTCAGCGCTTGTGTTGTCTCTGTGTGTGTGTTCTTTGTGTAACCTGGTGTGTGCTGCCATATGCTGCAATGTCTTTTTTAAGGTAGCAGTGTTAAAAATAGATTCATTGCATTCCTAAGCACTATGACATTGTTTTTAGGGCATGCGACACCAAGGTTTTTAGAGCAATCAGCCAAAAAGATGAAATTTTTTTTTACAGTAGTTTCAGTAGATATCTATAAACTGTCTCATCAGACGTTTTGCAAACCAATCTACAACTTTCTCTTTGGAAATTTTTGTCTAAAAATAAAAAATTAGACTTACTCTATGCAATAGTCACCAACATTTATATGGTCTCGTTGTCATAGAATGCATCGGCATATGTTGAAACTCTGGCTAGAGTTACCTGGATCACTTTGTATCACTTCACTCTTACTCATGTAGCAAGCATTCCCCAATTTGCTGTGCATTGCATTTGCCTTAGCATTGTCTTTTTAGCGTCTCTTTATCAAGTGTCCAGGCTTTGCCAGCGTGGGTTTTGAAGAAGGTTAATGAAATTGAGCAGGTATGTGTGTGTATTTTTTACAGCGTAAAGAGTAGTACGAACGAAGAATGAGAGTTGGCAGAGTGCTCATGTTGAACCATATTGCAATATTGAGTTAGATGGATAGATGCATTGTCGGTACTCATGCTTTAGTACAAGAGAAATGAGAGGGCAAGGCAGTATCGCTAGTTTGAGGAGTTAAGTGCACATGACTGGGTTGAAAGGACTGGGTTGATGGGTGTATGGCTCCTGCTTTTTTTTTTTGCATTTTTGAAAAAAAAAGAAGGTGATAATTACTGAGTCCTTGACAGTAATGTCGGCTCGTTTAGTAAAACAAAAAATTGAAATATTCTGTAACAGTTGAAACCTTGTGCAGCAGTACTATCTGTTTTGTTTTCTTTTCACGAGTTAGTAGGCAGGTGCTTTTCATTCATTGCCATTATGTTGATGCATCGTAGACTGCAGAAAGTAGGAGCTTTATATCTTTAAAGCTATTCAGGATCTTACTTGGAAATTTGTGTTTTGAAGTAATGTAGCACATTGGGCTAGTTTGAGCATACTTATGACAGTCAGTGCAAAAGAGGACACAGAATACAAAAAGTACTCGACACATTTCTTGTTTTGAATAAGAATGCTTTTGGCCAACACATCATGTAAATTTTTAAATGTAGCCTTTCTTGTGACCGAGAACCAAACATTATGCTAAGGGGTAAAATTAAATTTTTTATAAGACAAATACAGCATTACTGGAAAATATTGCACACTAATTTTGCATAATAGTTTGTGTAATTTCTAGCTAAAAGTGCATTCGTGTATTTACTTCACTAGAAAGAAAAATATTTCCCTCACTTGTCATGTGCTGTAAGAGTAACTTTCTGATTATTTTGTTTTCAACCCATCTTCTCAACATTTAGGCTTTGATTATAAGATATTTCAGGATAACCTAAAAAATTTTTAGTGTAATCGATGAGATAGTTTTCAATAAAAGGTAGCAATTTTCGAAAAATTTTTTAAAACAACCGCAAGGAATGTCTCTTTTTATGCTTCAAAATGTGCAGGACAAGCTCACGATGACCGACGATTATGCTTCCATGTGCTTCAAAAGCACACTAATGGGAACATTTGCAATCACAGCTTATGAAAATGGCTCAAATTGAATATAGTTCATTGATGCAGCCATATGTGTTATTAAAATCGCATACATGAAGAATATATCATGGAAAACAGCATCCTCGTGGCTGTCGGGAGGTGCAGTTTTTGCGCCATTTTTTTAATGTGTTTGAGTGCTTTTGTTGCTACTGCTTATGGTAACAAAACTGTGACCTCCGTTTCATATAAAGCCAGCGGCCACCATTGGAGGCACAGCTGTGCTTGAGAGGGAATGCGGACACTGCTGTGGCTTTGTATGGGATAGCTTCAGTCATCGAGCTTTTTAAACGTGCAAGATGGTCACTTTAAATGCACAACACGTGTAAACGAGTGTCTGAGTGTGTCGTAAGACCTGCAATGAGCCCTCCGGCGAAAAGTGTAGCCGCTCAAAATGTGCTGCTCACAGTGGTTTTGGCTAAAAAGACACAAAAATTCTGGATTTAAAGCGCCATTATTATATTATTTTGAGGCACAGTGAATTGAAAATTTCTGATTTTTAATCATTGAATGTGTAATTAAATCTAAGGTACTCTTTTTATTCCCCGAGCAAAGTGCGGCCACCGTGGTTGCTTGGCATGAGACGTTAGTCCTGACGTTTTAATAGGTTTCACTTATCATGTTTTTGTGCTTTAGACGCTTTGCAAACGCAACAATGCCCCAGTAGTGTCACTTGTAAAAATAGGCAAACATCTGGGCTGTTGCCCAGATCACGGCTGTTCGATTTTCTGGGCTGCTGACGTAGAATGGTTTTGTATAATGTCCACGAAAATTAAACAGAGTTGTTGTGCCAGCTTCTGCGCAAGATTTAGATAATTGAAATTGGAATAGCAGGCAGCAACAGTGTCTGTGGTGGCATCAATGTCCTCCATGAACATATGCATGCACGTTCTTCAAAGTCGGAATCATGATGGTCTAGCAGCAGTAGGGCCCACATTCATATCCCACACTGCTCCTTGTTACTCAGGAAACTAGACATGCCTTTTGGTTGTCTTCTTGTAAAGGAACGGCTCGTCATCGCACAAAACGTGTTCGGCAATGTCGTTCCACTCACACACTTCAGCTGATTCAAGAAATAACATAGTGGGTGCACAGGGATAACCGCAACCATCAGCTCATGTCATGCCAAACAAGGGTTTCATCACATGAACAATGCTCTTTTTGGCAAAGTTTCATCACGTTGTGACAGCCTTGGGTAGCGTGTGAAGCTGCTCCATAGTGTGGTGGCAAAATTTCATGGCCTTAAAGGACTCTGGTGTCGCTCTCCAGAGTGTGTATTATATATTAGGAATGAAATACAAACATCTGTTCTTTAGTCAATTTATCTTGCCATACCTCATTAACAGCCAAGTGGGACAGAATTTTCCTTGACTAAATTCATTGAGTGAGTAGTGTATACCACCAAATAAATCTTGGCAAGGCCGCAAGGATCATTGTGGCGTACCTTTTTTTTAGCAAGCTTTAAAGAGCATCTAAGCAGATGATTCAAGCATGTGATGGTTGTCACTATTACGTTAGTCTAGTAGTGCTGCCTGCAAGATGTTTTACTGCCCCTTGTGTGTGAGGTCTTACTAGGGAGCCAAGTGTTTTAGGTCATGCTCTCTTCACGAGTCATTTTCCGGAAATGCTTGTTGTTGTTTTTAGCTTCGGTAATACTAGTAGCTATTGCTATGCTTTTCGTGATTCTACCACTCATATTTCAAACAAAAATTTTGCATGAATGCACTTTTATATCTATACTATTTGGAACTAGGCATTTCGTATGGTATAAAATTTTGTTACTGTTAGCCTCATGTAGTGGATGCATTTGGAGCACAAGTAGCTGCCCACCATGCAGTGGTTTACTACAGGCCCATAGCCAGATCAAGAGCCTTAGCCCCCCCCCCCCTCTTGAAATTATGACAAAGGGGTGTTTTACCGAAAATAAGTAATGAAAATAGGTGTTTCTTTTTTCATTTTCCAAGATCTTTGGCAAGTGCCCCCTCCCCCCCCTGAAGAAAAATCCTGGCTACGGGCCTGACTACTGTTATGCTTGTACAAGGGTTATGGACAGCACAGTGGATTAGTGCTCCACTTTACACACTGCTTTTCATTGCGCTTTTATCTAGGTAGCATTAAAAAGACGCCAGAGTTGTTCTTGGTTGTATCATGGATGACGGTCTTTTTGTTACCTGCCAGATTACAACCCTTGAAAATAAATGCAAACAGCAGAGTGCATAGGTACTGTTTGCATTTCTTTTTATCATGTTGGTACATGTCATTTGGCATATGGAATGGGTTAGGCCCGTAGCCAGAAATTTGTTCGATTTTTTTCGAAGGTGAAAAAGGGGGAGGGAGGAGGCACCTGTTGGAAATTTTAAAAACGACTTTTTTATTATTCTTTGAAAACAGCCTCCTCAATCTGAAGTTTGGGGAAGGAAACCTAGCTCCCCCCATCCCTGGTTATATGCCTGGAACGAGTATTTCTGAGTAGCGATCACATTTGCTTTAAAGTGACTATGTCCAAACATGAAGCCTGCTGCTCAGCACACATTTTTTTCTTTTCATTTTTATTGACTAGTCCTGGGTGATTCTCCGACTGTCATACTGGGATGATGTTGACATGAAAGCAAAACCATCAACGTCCTCTAGCACAGATTTGCAGCATAATCTACTGATGGAAAAGCCATGTCAGTGTGAGTTTGCATCTCTTTTTTTCTGTTTAATTGTCAAGATTAACTCGTATTCAATTTGCAGCTGCTTCAGTGGGCGACCAGTGCCATCAGGAACCAAGCGGCCACTTGCACTTTATATTAATGACAGCTGACAACATCAACATTGTTTACCTCTTGAGGAAAACGCCTCCTTTCACAGAGACATGCTTCCATTTTGGCCAGGAGAGTGCATCCTTGCCACCTGCAGTTAAAAGTGCTACATCTGAGCTGATGCAAGAAATACCACTTGTTTGCACTGACAGAATTCTTGATTCTCTGCAAGACGACGATTCACTTAGCCTTGCTTCGTTCGGGGACTTTATTGGTAAAGCTCAGATTCATATATTCACTCTCCTTCTCCCTACTGTTTCTTTGGTCTGTGCTACTACCAATCTCACTGCAAACATTTTTTCCTTCAGCTAGTGATGAAAGCTTCTGCGAGGATGTAGAAGAGCTTGAAAAATCTCTTGATGTATTGAAGAGTGTGGAGTCTGATCGGGCGACTGATTCTGCTGAAGAGTCTTGTTTGAGTTCACCTGACGACATGACATATGGTTAGAATCTTTCGTTCACCAATGTTTATTCTCTGTTACTATTTTGTGCACATATACATTATATCTTGTTGTTGTAGCATCTCTTGGTGATCCTTCTGACTGGCCTGAAAGGCGGTTTCTTGTTTCTGAGTCACTCAAGAGCTCAGCATCCAGTGAAAATTGCACTCTCTCCAATGCAGGTGGTAGTCCTGGTCTCAAGGGTAAGTTGTCATCTTGCAGTGTCATTGAAATAAGTCATTCTTTCACTTGTATTCATTAATTTCTAGAGCTTACCATATCAGCTGCTGAGATAGCTAAACTGTTTGATGAATCTGGATGTCCCGAACGAAAGCCACTCCACCCTGTTCATGCTGTGGTAAGTGTGGCAAACTTTTGCTGTAATTATGCATGGGTTGTGCATATTTTAAAGCTGTTTTGTTTTTGTGGTGATATATATGGTGTGTTATTTACGAAAACTGGTGATAACCTTCTTAACGACTTCACTGCGTTGTGGGTCATTGGTGGTTCACGGCTTGTGCTTCTCCTGTGTGGTTGCGATGTTATGAGTATGGCTCTGCTTGTGGATGCATTAACTTCACCACACTTCGATCGCAGAGGTACGATTCTGGTTGCTAGAAGTTAAAAATGGCCAGAAGAATACTTTTCTGGTGTTAGATGGCAGGATCTACCGATAACCAACAATGCATTCACTGAAAACGTTTTTATGCTGCGTGCGGTGTGACCGACTGGTGACCCATGCCAGCGCCTCCTCTATATTTTTTAGTGCCCGGGCGAACGCTGTCCTCTGGCCATCGAGCGTGCGCTCGGCCGCGCCTTCCCGTCATCACATGGCGGCGCTGTGCGAGTAGGCTACGGTATGCTGGCGCTAAACGGCCATGTCTATTGCTAATCTCCTGAATTCGTGTTTGTATCGGAATTTAAGTGCATTCGCGCTTCTCGCAGATTTTAACTGGTACTTATCCCGAAATGCAGTCCATCTGGCCGTGATGGCGGTGGGAATAATGCAATAATGCTCTTAATTTTGATGGTATTCATGATTTATATTATATTTCAACTTTGCGCAACCACATGCTTCAAGTGCCCCGGCATGTCGTGTTGTTGCGTACCGCTGTGCCAATCGAAGGAAAAAAAACAACACTGATGGGCTTTCGTTCCATGAAATACCAGCTGCCTCTAATGTACGGGAGAGGTGGCTCTCTGCGATCAGGCGGGACAATTGTCACTGTCGCAAATTACAGGCTGCTACTGCGGGCGATAAACTGAGACATCACTCCGTTAACAACACCCATTTAATAAACACTCACTGAAAAAATATATACAAAAAATGTGCAAAACAACTAGTAATAACTTCAAACTAAATTAAAATTAACCCACAAACAAACTCCCATACAGACTAAACTGTCCTAAAAATGCAAACTAAGCCTCACTAAGCTTACATTCCCACCACGCTACACGCTAAATCGTCCTAGTCAACATCAGGCATCTTTAGCCTCATAGTTACCAAGCCGATTCGCAGCTCGTCAATGTCCGGGAATCGGTAACGCTGATCATCTTGACGTCAATGTTTTGATTGGTTGTTTCCGGTATCTGTCGAGGATCTCGACGTTCTCTACGAACGTTGTCGCTGCTGCTGTTGCCGACCTGGTCGCCCGTCGTCGTCGTCGTCGCCTGATGTCGGTGTTGATGTGGCGGAGGCCTCCTAGGTTAGGCCTAGTGGCCGCAGGCGATACCTATTGCTGTATGCTGACGTGGCCATTTGGGGACTGTCTTTGTCGGTTGGCCTCGAAGGGGGCTTGTGCCAGAACCGTCGGTGCTTGCTGTAAGCAGCTACTGCATCCCGAGCAGCCTCCTTCGAAACGTGTCGAGGTCTCCGTCTTCTCGGGACAGGCCGCGTCACAGGTTGTCGAGTCACTGTTCTGCCGCTCCCGTTGCCACTGCGTTTGGTGGCGATGCGACCTTCTGCCAAGCCCACGTCGACAATCCCAGCTCGTCGCTGCTCGCGCGCCGATCGCCGCTGGGGTTAGCACCTCGGGCCTCGCTGTACGGTGAGCCTGCTCGCACCTTTTACAATCTTCTCTGAACTTCCTCGTCGTCTTTGTCTCCGAAGGGCTTCTTTTTATGACATTTGCCCCTTTTTCAAGAGTTTTTTTCTCAAAAAACTGCTTGCCTCTCTTTCTTGATCTTGTAGATGCCTTCGCTTGCCAAGTGTTCACTTTAAAGTAACTTTCACTTCACAGTGGTCACCAAAAAGCACTTTTGCAAGCACACCATCTAACACTACACTGTTTGGCAAGTCCATTATTCTATCGTCCGTAACACTATTGGCTACACTCGAAAATTTAGCTACCACAAGAGTGTAACACTCACTGTTCACAATGTTGTCTAACTCATTGTGTACAAAATTCAGCTTCAAATAAAGTCATCTATGGACCTACTTCAAACACATTCCAGAAGACCATCTATTTTCCATGAAAGCAATAACGAGTTTGTGACAACACACTTCAGTCTGTACTTTTTCACATTCCGCGTCTTTTTCAGTTTCTTCCTATGTCTACTCGAGCCCCATGGTTCAAGATGCTCGACAGAGCTAATGCCTCTGTTCATTTTACTCCGATGTCTCCTTGAATCCGCTGTGGTACGTAGCGTCCTGACTCTCGCTGCGTCGGCTCTTTTCCTCACTAGTTTTCCTGCCTGATGATCGAGGCATAGTCTTAGCGCTTTCCGAGTGGTTTCTTTCGTCTCATGCGTCTGCAACTTTTGCACCACTCTACTTGCGTCCTGGTGACCCTGACCGGTTCTCTCTGCGTCTACAGCTGTCTCATTTTCTCTTACTTTTATGCGTTTTACAATGCACGTAAAAAGCATCTCATTCTTTCTCGAACCCTCCAGCATTATTATCTTTCATGAATGCGTCGTGCTTTTTCTTTCAATATGCCTGCCCAATCTCGAACATCTGCTCACTGTCTCTTAGCTACCTAGCTTGGTTGCGTTCGCTTCCTCCGTGCACTGTTCTACAGTATCCATGTCTTCTACTCTAACCATTGCCTTACTGCAACTCTATGCAACATCTAATCCCTTAGAGTGGCCAATTGAAGACGCGAGGTTTCCTGGAAGAGAAACTTCGAGGGCGCGGAACGACAACAACGCTGGACTTTGAGTGAGTGATTCTCGGAAGAGTATCATTCAGACTTTTGTTCCAAGAACTTTGGACTTGATAGGTTTTCTATCTCTTCAGTCTTTAAGTGTCTTGGTTGTTCAATGCATGCGACTGCATTGTAGTGCGTATCGTTGTCTGTGTCCGTTGTTTTGAGTGTGGCTGATTGTACTGTGTAGTACGTTGTTTGATTGGTGACGTATTGTATCTAACTATTGTGGAGTGTACATTCTTGTGTATTGTTTTCGATCTTCCATTTTTGAGAATATAATATTTGTTTTGTTTATCAACTCTCGGCTCTGACTTGTTCTTTGTGCCACAGCCCGCGTCCGCTGGCGCGCCAAAAAGGACCACTTCTAAATTGTCCACGCTTTCGTGGTGCGGTTCGGGGGGCCCATACTTTGGCCCTTGGAATTAGCCGTGCGATAGCCTCCCTAATCAACGGGACCGGTGTGTGACAATTAATCTGGCGTCCGCGACAGGACCTTTTGGTGCACAGTGTGTCCAAAGTAGTGAGAAAGAGCCTCGAGTTGTTGATAGTGCTATCGGAACGATTTTGTGTGTTGTTCAGTGTTCTCGTTAACGAGTGCAGGAGAGTGTTCCGATAGACTGATTTAGGCAGATACTTTTTGCACGCGACAAGGTTTTATTTGCGAGTTGCGAGACACAATGGATCTCGAAAAGTTAGTCGCTCTTGGTGAGAAGATGGGTCTTTCTGGCGCCGAACTACGGAAGTGGGTCACCCAGAAGGAAAAAGAAGAAAAAGAGAGGGCCAAAGAAGAAAAGGCAGCTGAGCTGGAAAAAGAAAGGCTGGCGGTCGAAAGAGCCAAAGCGGAAAAAGAAGCTGAGTTGGAACGAGAGAGGTTGGCAGCTGAGAGAGCCAAGGAAGAAAAAGCAGCCGAGTTGGAACGAGAAAGGTTGGCAGCTGAAAGGGCGAGAGAAGAAAGAGAAGCAAAGGAGCGACAGCTGAAAGAAGAAAGAGAAGCAAAGGAGCGACAGCTGAAAGAAGAAAGAGAGCAGCAGTTGAAGTTGGAGCTGGAGAGAGAAAAGCTGGCCGCTGAGAGGGCGAGAGAAGAAAGAGAGGCAAAGGAGCGACAGCTGAAAGAAGAAAGAGAGGCAAAGGAGCGACAGCTGAAAGAAGAAAGAGAGGAAAGGGAACGGCAGCGGCAGCACGAGATGGAACTCGAGCGGCTCCAGTCGCAACAGCGAAGTGAAACTCCCGTCCAAGCTAGAGTTGAAAGCAGCGAACGGGAAGATCATGGCTTCCGCTTGAACCCAAGCAAGCTGCTCGAGGCGTTTGATGAAAGGAAGGACGACCTTGACGCGTACCTTCACCGATTCGAGACGATTGCGAAGAGCCAGAATTGGCCGGAACATCAATGGGCAACTGCTTTGAGTACTTGCTTGAGTGGGGAAGCGCTCAGTGTGTACGGTAGGCTGACGCCGACCGATGCAGCCAACTATGCAAAGGTGAAAGCTGCTCTGCTGAAGCGATTTAGATTTACTGTGGAAGGTTTCCGGGACAGATTTCGGACAGGAAAGCCAGCTGATGGTGAGACGGCTACGCAGTATGCCGCCCGACTTAACCATTATTTCGACAGATGGATTGAACTTTCAGGGACAGCACAGGAGTACGATGAGCTTAGAGAGCTCCTAATTAGAGAACAATTTCTTACTAGTTGTCACCCAAGCCTGTTGCTGTATTTGAAAAAGAGGAAGGCTGAGTCACTTGAAGGAATGCTTGAATTGGCTGATCAATTCTTGGAAGTGCAAGGTGGAACTAATTTGGCCAAGGTCAAGAAGGATTGTCTCGATGATTCACAGAAATTGGCTCCCGAAGAAAAGAAGCGTGCACCAGAGAGCATTCCGCGATGTTTTCTGTGCAACCGAGTGGGTCATCGCGCGAAAAACTGTCGAACGATCTTTACGAGCCCTACGGCAGTAAAATGTTTTAAGTGTGGCCAGACTGGGCACAAAGCAGACGCATGTCGAAACGGAGCGAGTCAAACTCACCAGGTATCCTGTGTGCTAGCAGCACCGAAATCCGATGATAATGCCGTCACCGACGGATTTGTAGTTGAAAAATGGGGAGAAAATTCCTATTGTGGGAGCTGTAATGTCAAAACGGCCAACCGGTGTTACGAAGGGAATGCCAACGCTGCCTGGAAAGGTTGCGGGGAAGAAGATTACTGTTCTAAGAG